CCTTTGAACGCCTCTTTCGGCGGCAGTTGCCTCATAAATTGAAACCGAAAAAATCGCTTGTGCCAGGCACTTGGAGAGAAGACTGCCTACAGCAAATAGATAAAGATAGAATCTACGGAGGGGACAGGTGAAAATGGGCGCAGAATCTGCAGAAAATGTACACTTCAAAGCTTGCACTTCTAAATAGTCTCCAGATAACCAACTTTTTCAGGAATATTCACCTTCATGGTTTAAATTATATATAGATGAGTGCTGAGGATCATTCGAGCTTAGTTACTAAGAACGATACAAAATTGCGACATTATTTTTCCCTTCAGCATTATAGGGTTTCCCCTCAAGATCAATAGCACCTAAATGGATTTCAAATATTATTTGTTTATAATTGGTTGTACAAGTTCTCTGTGTGTATGAGCGTGCAGAAATCCGGGTTTCAGGTGGCAGCAACATTTAGTTCACTTTACCTATTTCCTTACCCGTTTTCCGGAGATCCGCTTCACTTCACTCCATCCGAGAAAACAACAAAACCGCAAATGCGACAAAAGCAGAATGCAATTCGCACTTGAAACTCTGTGGCGCCAACAACAACGACAACAGCCGTGCCAGGATGCAAAGGAAAGATCCTTACTTCTGTGGTGGAACAAAAAGTCCGCGTTTGCTTTTCCACATTCCACTTTTCTTTTTCTCAGCAGCAAACTGCTGCTCCCCAATTTGCAGCAGAAAATGAAAATTTAAATTTTTAACCAACGCCGAGCCGGCTGGCCAGAAAGTTTTCCAGCTACACTTTTTACCGCTGCCGTCACTGCAGCTGGGAAATTTCACACATTTCCCACAGCGCATTTTCGCAAACCTGTTTTTTGTTTTTTGTTTTCATTTTGATTTTTTTTTTGCTTTTGTCAACGAACGAAGGAAGCCGTCAAGCTGTTCGGGCGAGTGATGAATGAATGGAGACCCTCGCAGTCGTTTTTATTTAGCATAATGAAACCGGGAAAGCGGGAAACCGAATGAAGTTTGATTGAAGCTCGAAACCGGTCCTAGTCTCCCATGTTTGGAGCCGGGATCCTCCTGGGGCAGCACTTTCGTTGGGTTTGTTTCGCACTGCTTACCAGCTAACAACAATCATCAGCACACTGTGGCCCCGGGCCAAGGAATGCACATCCGACACCGTGTATCCTGGCCACTTTCCCCGCCCATTTTCCAGGACCTCCCATCCCCCATCCCCCATCCTGTCAGCATGCAACAAATGCCTCGAGTGCATAACTGCCTGCCAGGCTCCACACGGTGAGAAATATGTATGTGCTTATCAGACTCGAACACATTTTGTTCGGAGCTTAATTCGTTTTTATCTGCCTATAAGCTGACTGGTTTGCAACAGTTTTGGAAGCATTTTTATAAAGCGGCCTAGAATTTCTCGCAGTGCATTCTCTAAGCTCTGACTTTCACCCTGACTCCGCATAAATCATGGCTGGCATTTGCATGTTCCGCAACCTCCTGCTGCATGCAGCTAATCTGCGTCCTGGCCAAGTGGGAAGTGCATCCTTTGTATGCCTTTTGTTTGCCTTTCATGTACTTGCTCAATTAAAAAATTGCTCCAGTAGGGGGCAATTCGGGTTTGCCTTGTCGGGCAATTAATATGTTTGGTCTCCGGTAGAGAAAGCTGTTTTAATTGCATTTTCTCACGAAAGGCCGCAATTTCGATTGCCCCGGCTTTTCACACCTATAAATATGTAAATTTTTCCTTTCACCTGCATTGAAAGGAAAGCGTGGCTTATATCTGCCCAGATAATATTAATTGCTGCTGCATTTGCAAAGCTATCTGAACCGACCCTTATTCGGGTGAATCCTACGTTCTTTGGAGCATAGAAAAATAACTTCAAAAGTATGCAGAGTTCAACTCTGGAGCCTTTTGCCTTCGGCCTAAGCTGAAAAGCAACTGTTTCTTGATTTGGCTAAATGGAATAAACTTTCCTCGTTCTCGTCGCTCGGAAAACCGAAGGGAAAATTCTCACTTTGAATGGAAACGCAGGCGCCAACTCCAATTTCGAAAGCCGAGAGGAACTCTCCAAAGAATAAGAGATAAGTTATAAGAACTCAGAGTGAGATTTATGCCTTTCAAGGCTGAATGTGTCTTTAATAGTGATCCATATTTAAGCGGGGTCTTCGATCTTCTAAGTTATATTTATTAACAATAATGGCGAAAAGCATTTAGACATTCGAAAACAATGCTTCAAACATTTAAGTGCACTCAAACAAAGATATAAAAAATCTAAATATCAAGAAAAACATAGCTTTCCTAAATGCTTAAAAACATTTAGCCTCTTCTTGACTGTTTTTTTTTTTGCTGAACATTTATAAATTGCTATATATTTTTCTGGTTGTCTTATTTCAATTTGCATTCTATTTAAACCATGTGAAATATTTGTATTAGAAAAATATATCTCAACCTTTACCCACAACTAGCATTGAAATAAAACTGCCGTAATCTGGTGAGAAAAAAATATTTTTAATTTTGCTGATGGTAGCTGCCAACAACTACAAAGGTAAATGAAAAATTCTTATCAACAAACGTTGCAAAAATGTGTGCAATTAAAAACTCTCAGCATACCAAAAAAAAAACAAGTAAAAATAAGAAACAAGTAGAAAGAAAATGTAAATTCAGCAAAACAAACATAAGAGAAATTAAAAGAAGCCCAAAGAAGGTTCTGGGAATCATTGGATTTTAATTAACAACGAAAAAAAGGGAAAGGAAGCAAAAAAGCGGTAACAAAGCCAAAGGACCTTCGGCATTGCTAAAAAAAAAAAAGAAGAGAATACACATGCATATTATGTGCACTTTGTGCTCTCGTTGTTTGTTTGTTTTTTAGTTTACTAAGGGACTTTGGTCCTTGGTTTGCACTCAATGATTTTGGGTTTCATTGCATGATTGCACTTTTTGCCGTATTTCATTTGCTTGCTTTTCAACTCGGCTGTGGTAATCAAATATTTCACTTGCACCGATTTCTTGGGAGTCTTGGCCAAAGGATTTTCAGCTACTTTAAAAGAATCATTTCATTTTGCGGTCACAGAAAACTATGCTGACTTACAAATGACTTTTGAATAATTTAGCAAATTTAAAAGCAAATTTCCTAGTTCTCTATGAATATATTAATATTTAAGCATTGTAATTTAGCATTTTTATATTAAAATGATCAATGAATATCTTAAACTTAAATATTTTGTGACAGTACTGCTAAAAAAAAAACCGTTTTGGTTGTTTTTTTAGCAGCTTCGCAGAGGCTTACGTGAAATCTCTGGGGGCTGGAAAAACACACGGATGCTGCCAGACTCGGTGATGAATCTAGGCCCCAGGATGCATTGCGCCATATACAAGCCCCCATCAGACCGGCGAGAATCCTTTCCAGTCGCTGGCGACACACGCACCGGGTCAATTTCATGCAACACAAACAAGGGAGATCCGGCAAGGGGCGAGGGGCACGGGGCAAGGAGCAGCTTTGCTGCGTGGAGGACACGTTTTCCCTCGCTCTCACCCGCTCCTCCGCCGCCTTTCCTTTGAGGAGCAGCCAGGCGAACAGAAAGGCGAGCAGGTGCTCAGCTGTAACTAAACGTCCGTTTTAACATTGCCACCTGATGGTCCTGCTTCTTGTTGCCCAGATTTTGGATGGGGATGTGGCATGTGGCATGTGGCACATGACAGTTGCTGGTCACGTCCGATGCAGGGGCATAATTGATAGTTCAATCTGTTGCAGATCAAACGCTTGACAGCAGCCAACAGATCAAGCTGAAAAATTGTCCACCAGTTTAGCCAAAGAGGTGGGAGCATTTGATTATAGGTGTTTTTATCTCGGCGCTCAGCTATAAAATTATTTTCAGTTATATTATTTACTAAATTCATACAAGAGTACCAACAAGTTTTGATTGTAATCAATGTTTAAAGTTTATATTTTACATTTATATTCTCTAGTTTACTTTACCTAAATGTAAAACACTTTAAACATGTACGCCAAAATAATCCGCACTCTTCTTTTATGCAACTTTATTTTTATATTAATGGATTTGGCCTTTCAGGCTGCACTTTATATTTACCAACTTCGTGAGCGTTTGTCAACCCAAAGGCGACTGAAGAAGGGATGGAAAAAAGCTCAGCCAGACAGCATAAAAACATCCTTTAGACAAATAGATTTGTATGCTTTTAAGTAATTTGCAGCACAAATTGAAATTCCATGGCTGGCTTTCTATGCAACTGCTGCTTGCAATTCTACTTTAAAGTAGAGAAACAAATTTCTACAATCTCTTCATATATTTTTAACTAATTCTACTTAATGTGTGCTTCCGCTTTTTGTGTGCTACTCATGTTTTGTCGCTTAATTTTAATGGCTTGCCGGGCATTAAACTTCCAGCTTCATTCATGTTTATGTTCGCATTTTTATTTGTGTAATTTACGCGTCAAGTGCTGATCATAAATTGTGACTCGAACTTCGCTGTCGGAAAGGTCACGTGGGCTCATTAAATACCCAACAACGCCATGAACTCGACAAGAACAATAAGTGTAATAACAGCAGCAATAAGAGTCACAAAAGGCACAAAACACATGCGAACAGGATAAAATGATTTACCTTCGAAGGAAAGAATATAAAATGACAGTCATTTTTAAAGCAATACGTGTCTAAAAATACTCCAGTAGGGGAAATACTTAAAGAAGCTTCCTGCCTTCTATACTGCTTAAAATAAACCTTTGTAAACAAATCAATCTATGACGCGAAGATAAGACTTCAGTACGTAATTGGTTTATCACTTGATTAGAATATTACGGAAACTGCTCGTGTTGAAATGACACTTAAGAAAACTAATTCATAGTGATAACATAGAATCAAAAAGCACAATCACTTAAATGAGAACGATATTCTACGAATTTCGAAGAATTTCTAATTAAATCTAATCGAAATGTCATTAATATAAGCTGCCGCGGTTATATCTGGAAATACATTTGCTATAGGCAAGGCAGTTGGCCCAGTTAATAAGTCAGTGTGGACTTAAACGCGTATGAGGAAAGACCTATTAAAATAATCATATTATTTGGAAAGGGAAATTATTATGCAAGGTAAGCCTTTGATATGTGTACTATGCATTCGATTATGTTTCTCCACTTAAAAACTTAAGAACTACAAATTTTTCATTCCAGATAATAATTTCAAGCCCCTGCCATGGCTTCTGGTGGTTATAGCGGTCTTCTGGAGCTGGCAGCTAAATGTTTTGGCCCTGCCGAAGATCGAACCTCGTCACGAAACCTGTAACAATGAACAGCGATACGAAAACCAGGTGATGTGCGAGGACAAGGAGTTTGGTGCCTTAGTGCCGTATCCGGATAATTGTAGCTTGTTCCTGGTCTGTGACTGTCTCTACCCGACGGTGAAGCTGTGCCCCGCAAGTCTCTGGTGGGATAATAAGACTCAGCTGTGTAATTATCCCCAAGCAGTAGAATGTATATACTACTCTATTGATACGCCAGAACCCACGGATGGAACTACCAGATTTACGCCAGAACCAACATCCAGTACTCAGAAGATAACGCCAGAACCGACAGAACCATCATCTAGTACGGCAGAGATAACGACGGAAAGTACCACCGGAACCACTCCGCAGATAACAACAGAAGCGTCCTCTACCCCAAACTACCCCCCAACATCCAGTTGGGATCCACCACCTGCACCACCTGGAATTTCAGATGATTACTGTCGCAATAAAGCCGATGGGTCGCTACATTATTATCCGTATGACTGCCAGGCCTATATAAACTGCACTCGCAGCTGGCCTGTGCTAAACTATTGTATTGAAGACAAGGTTTTCAATAGGTACCTGGGCATTTGCGATACTCCCGATGTGGCGGAGTGCGAGGAGCTGCCTCTGCCCACAACCACAACAGAAATACCGCTCACTTCAACGACTGAGGAGGATGTGGCTTGCGGTCCAACGCCGGATGGAATTGAAGAGGATTATTGTGTGCCGAAGGGAAATGGTTTCTATGAGTATCCATACAACTGCAGTGGGTACTTGGCCTGCAAAAATGGTTGCACAGACTTGGAGTACTGCCAACCAGATAAACTCTTTAATAACTGGCTGCACATCTGCGATACACCCGATTCCGTGTGGTGTGACCCCATGCCATTCCCTACAACGCCGGGCACAACCGAAAACCCCACATCTGCTTCAATCACTACCACTCCTTCAATCACTACAACTCCTTCAATCACCATAACTCCTTCAAAACCTACAACACTTCCTTCTGATGGTTCAACTACCACCGAAATTGCAACCACTACCCCTGCACTTCCCTCTGACGTCGATCCAAATGATTGTAAAGGTGAAAAGGACGGCACTGTTTTTGCCTACATAGGAAATTGTTCCGAGTACTTGATATGTAAAGACAATCAAGTGCAAATGGATCATTGTCCACCTAATACGCTCTTCAATCCCGACTGGCTTCTATGCGATGAGCCAGATGATGTAGTGTGCCTTGGAGATCGCACCACCACACCCATTCCAACCACCACACCCACTACCACAACTGAAAAAACCACTCCTACCACGACTACCACCACAGAGGCCACAACTTTGGGACCCGAACAACTTTGCGATGGTCAAGAGTTGGGAGCTTCTTTTTCTTATCCGGATGACTGCAGCAAGTATTATCTTTGCTTGGGCGCCGGACAATGGACTCTGGCACCCTGCATATACGGCAGCTATTTTGATCCCAGCACAGGACAGTGTGGACCTGATGTGTCACCCGATGCTTGTAAGGCCTCACAAGTCCCCACCAGCACAACAACAACGACAGAGGCCACAACAACCGAAAAAGACACCACTCCCAAGTCTACAACTCAGTCTACAACCACTGAAAGGACAACCACAACTTTGGCCCCAAAAACTGGTATTTGTGGTGGTCGAAATGAAAACGAGAACATTGCTTATCCCAACAACTGCAACAAGTATATTGTGTGCGTTTCACCAATTCCCATTGCCTTCTTCTGTCCCGATAAGACATTCTTCAGTTCAACGTTACAGAAGTGCATTGATGATTGGGAAGAAAGTGATTGTGAGGGAGATCAGAGCACCACGACTTTAGAACCAGGCTACACAAGACCTCCTCCAGAACCCACCATGTGCACAAATAGCAGTCGGAATACTTTCCCATATCCGGATAACTGTCAATGGTTCATACGCTGTGTGGATGACTACATCTACATGATGGACGTCTGCAATTGTGGGGAGTACTATGATCCAATTACTGAAAAGTGTGGAGCGGATGTTCCTTCAGATGCCTGTCGATGGGATTACAACTCGACCACATCCACTACCAGTGAGCCGACCACAACTACAGCGGTTACGAGACCACCACCGCAGAAAGGACCATGTGACGATGTCGAGGATGGTGCCCTTGTCGCCTATCCCAACGATTGCTCGAAATATATTAAGTGCGATAGACCCATTGCTGTGGCCTTTGAATGCGAAGAAGGAGATGAATTTAGTGTGGAGCTTGGAAAGTGTGTTGATGCTTCACTTGCCAATTGTTCGTTTACAACCACTGCTAAGCCATCGACAACGACACCAAGAGACGGAGAAGGCTCAACAACGGCTTCTGAACCACCAACGGAATCTTCTACAGAATCCTCCACAGAATCATCTACCGAATCAACAACAGAATCAACAACAGAATCAACAACTGAATCAACAACAAAATCAACAACAGAATCAACAACAGAATCAACAACAGAATCAACAACAGAATCAACTACAGTATCATCTACTGAAACTTCTGAATCGCCCTCAACAAATTCTACAACACCAGAATCTTCTACAATGGAACCGGGGACAACAACACCAGAAGGGTCAACTACTGCCAAACCGGCAGAGGGAATTTGTGAAGGCAAGACAGACGATTCTTTGGTACCCTACCCGAGAAACTGTAGCAAGTATATAAAGTGCCAATACCCAATACCAGTTGGTTACGATTGTCCGGATGGTTTGGAGTTTAGTCCCACGGAACTGACTTGCATGGATCCCGAACTAGCTGGTTGCAGTACGAAATTAACCACTCCAGGGCCCACTACTTTGAGTACAGACGCTTCGTCTTCACCGGTAACTACAGTCTCAACAACACCCGAGACTACAACTACAGAATTACCAACAACCCCAAATACCACAACTTCCGAGTCAACAACAATATTACCAACTACCACAGAATCAACAACAGATTCAACCACTCCCGAAACAACTACCACAGAATCTACGACAGTTTCAACAACTCCGCAGACAACAACCACCGAATCAACAACTGAATCTACAACTACAGAATTACCAACGACCCCAAAGACCACAACTTCCGAGTCAACAACAATATCAACTACCACAGAATCAACTACAGATTCAACCACTCCCCAAACAACTCCAACAGAACCAACAACTCCCGAAACAACTACCACAGAATCTACGACAGTTTCAACAACTCCCGAAACAACTACCACGATATCAACAACAGTCTCAACAACAACTGAATCGACAACCACTGTGGCTACCCCACCAACTCTAGATCCGTACACCCCCAATATTTGTTGTGGACAAGCTCTTGGAACTCTGCTCCCGTATCCCAATGATTGCGGTCGCTATGTCGTTTGTGACTATCCCATTCCATATGCCGTGGATTGTGATGAGGGAACGATCTTCGATGATGAACTTCTTCAATGCACCTCTACGCCCAATGAAAGGTGTCTTTTCGTAGAATTTTAAAAAATATATTAATGAAGCACAGCAATGCCAATCTGTTTCAATTCTGTTCTTTCTGCTACCCCACAAAATCAATTGCGTAAATGCACAAATGCTCAATAACTGAGAACCGCTTAACATATTCCTTACTTTTAACACTACTATGGCTTTAAAAGTCCTTTTTTAAGTGGTTCGCATGTTAGACATATACTTGCCACAGTTTCGGTATCAATTACATGCAAACCCTTTTCCGTAATTTGTCGCAACAAAACGAAACCAAGAAGAAAGGTAATTTACCACTTAACACAGCCAATTCCCCCGACAGGTAACAAGCCGATTGGAATTGCAGAACCTCCTGGCGAAAGGATTGCAAACGAAGACCCTCAAGGGGACGCAAGCGCGCGACAGTATTTTTAGCAACAGGCTAAAAGCAGTTTCCCCTTGACAATGCCACGTCTGATATCTGCTCACTTACAAGTTTCAGCCATTTATCGTATCCTAATACTGCCGTTCTTGGCCCACAGCTGAAACCCTCGGAAGCTCGTCTAATCAGATTTGGGGTTGGCCACATAAAAACACAATTGCCAAGGAATTATCCTTGGGGTGTGAGCTGGCAGGCAGGACATATACAATTGAGGGTAAATATAACAAGCACAAGGATAAGTTGTTCAGATTTGTTGTTGCCTCTGCGGTTGTTGTTGTGGAAATCGAAGAAGGGAAACCAAGGCAAGTTATGTATGTGAGTCGCAGTGACAGTAACGACACAAAATGAACACAATTCGAGCAAATTGTTTGGCAATAATGTTAACTTAATGCGTTCCATTTGTCGCACTTGAATCGATAGACACGCGCAAAGGCGCTCCTTGGAGTGATTTGTAACGCTTTGATAGCCACCCAGGATAAATAAGGATTTGTGCTGGTGTCTATAGGGATAAGCGTGGAGGAGCCCCAACATAGAGCAACAAGTCACAAGAATTTCACCTAATTGGTGATAAGACTTCGCCCAACAGCCGGACCGATTAAATGATTTTAAACTGGGATTTTGCATTAAATGCTCATAAATTAAATGCTGATTGCCTTGGGTGTCGCCTAAAACTGAATCCCGATGCCAGCTGGGTAATAAAAAAACAATTTTGCCTAGATTTGCTTTGCCAGATTTAGTTGAATCACTGCCAAAATGAAAAGAGCTGCCCAAAAATCTAGAACAGACAATACACTCGAAGTCGTACACTCTTCTGAAGAGAAAAGCATTCCATTTTTTCGTTAAACTTCAAAACCTTACTTAAGTGGTAGTTATGCATTCTTTTTTCCTTTCCTAATAAAAAATTATGTAATACTTCGTGGTAATCTTTGGCATTAAAGCCAAGTCGAGTCCTTATATTTTAATGTTTTCCCCGAAGGCAGAATTGGGCAAGGGTCCAATACTTTCCAAAAGCCCATAAATGTACCATTTAGTGTATGCATGATGTGTGCCAAGAATGCAGTAGCGTTTGAATTTAATAGTGAACGTTTTTGGGGGCATAAACAACACTTAAAACTAATTACAGGTAGGAATTCCCCAGCTAATTGCCAACGAAGGCAACTTAATGGGGGATAGATGGAAACTTTCACAAAACTCTTAAATGGTAACGATATCCAGACATAACTAACAATTATCAAAATCTCATAGCGATGCAGTTGAAGCAGAAAACATTTTCGAAGCACTCGACACATGCACATGTATATCAAATTGCCATTGCAGAAACTCTGAATTTCCCTACTTGCCCCCTTTTGTATCTCGTATCTGTAGTTGCAAACTTTTGCTGGCGCATATTAATGTGCTACTCCATCCATTTATGTAAAATGTATTTTATGTTTCCCGCGAGAATTTAAACCATGTGCTAGATGCCCCAGCAGTTAGACAGACAGCCAAAGTTCAGGCCTTTCGATGTTTTTTGCCTTGTTTGTGCTGTATTAAATGGCAAAATTTCATTGCGAAAATTGGTAACTTTGAAATATTTACATTTCAGTAAAATTTCATAAAAAGCTTATGCAAAATAAATGGGTATGGAAAAGCCGGAAAAGTGGTTTACTGGTATTTATGAAAACATAATCAAATGTTATGGCCAGTTTGGGGCAAATGCAACTAAACTATACCGAAGCTGACTGAGTTTTTTTAGGTGCAAGGGGAAAATGCTCTTAACTTTTAGCACGGCTGTCGGTTTTGAGTTCAGTGAACTGAAAACATTTGTTTAAAGCTTAAAGGTTTTCATTTCATGTAGTATTAAAATGAACTAAACGCTTAAAGAGCAAATCAAAGCGAGAGATATCTTTTTTTTGGTTCAGAGCATTTTAATGATAATAACTAAATCGTTCGATTTCGATCTGTACCTCAGATTTATATTAATCCTAGATTGACTTCCTTTAATATGTTGGTCTAGTAAGCAACTAATCTCCAAGCCGGAAGGCAAGGTAACAACGTGCGAATCCTAATTCCCAATTTTTGGACTTTCGGAAAAGTTCACCTGTAACCCAACTCTCCCCTTATATCACACACCTTCAGCAATCCATCCACTTAAGATAAACCTCAGCCCACTTTCGGTGAGATAACAGCATGTAAGCGTTGTCATAACACGATTCGGCCATATAAAAACAAAATTCGCACAAATTTAACGCCTCCGACGCAGACGTTTAGCTTTTTATGGCCCGGCCACGCCCACCTGAAGGACCTCCCACCACCGCCCACACAGCATTCATATTCATAAAAGGCAGCGACTCATCATTATTTGTCATGGGTGCATGTAAACAAGTCAACAAAAAAGAGCCAAAAATCATGAGTCACGCGTAAAATTTTATGAACTGAGGGGCGGGAAAGGATCATTTGGCAAATGAAGGATGAAGAAGGAAATGCGAATTCATGGCAACATTGCGTATACGCAGCGTGGGGTGCGGGTTTGTGGCTTAATTAAAAATCAGCGTGTGGCATTAAAATAATTTCTTCTGTGCGGTTTATTGTAGCGAGAAAAAGCTAAGCACGTTTCGTATACAGATTATTCTTATTTATATTAAAACTTGCCAAAATAATAGGTTACACTAATTGAAACACTTAATTGAAGCATATTTGTAGATTGGAAGAATTTTATTTAATGTGTTTTGGGTAATTTGCCCTACCGTTATGAAACACACTGTTCCCAAGCAGTAATGTATATTTCAACTTCATGTTTTAGGAAATGTTGGTTTAACCTATAGCCGAATTTTTCACCTTTCCCTATACATTTTCCTCCACTGCATTCCGAACATTCCTTCGCCAGTGATTCGCTTTTGGAAGCGAAACCGAAATAAGTCGCAGTAGAAAGTGAGTGGGGAAAGCGAGAGTGAGTGCCAGTTTAATTAAATTGATTTCCACTCCTCCCTGTGGCGAGATTTTAATTAAACCTCTTTCGATAGATTTTCCAGGACGAAGAGCTTAAGCAAACTGCACCTTTCAAATGTTCTTAGTGCTTTAAGAAATTCCAATGCTAAAAGTTGGCGAATTGTAAATTTTGTTATTACAAGCCAGGCCAACGCTCCCACAATTGGCTTTCTTTATTGCTTTCCAACGAGTTCAGCTACAAGTCAAAGTTTTTCCCCCTGGATGTGTGTACTCAACTCTGTTAGGAGTCGTGTGTTTATTTAATATCTATAAAACAAATTAAACATTCATATTCCGTTTATTTACTTAGGCAAATTGAGTTTTCACAGTTGACATGCTGAATACGTTAAAAAAACGAGAAGAAAACTCCGTAGAAATCTGTATCCGCGAGTCATGCAGACGGTTAGTTGGAAGGCGAGTAGGTTGGCCAAAAAAAGGATTCAAGAGTTGGCTGTGTCATCCACAACGGTCTGTAAACAGGAAACGAGTGTCTGTTGCAGGCAGGGAGTGACAAATGTCATGAAATATTCAAATTGGCAAAAGTGTTGCTGTCGCTGTCGAAGTCACTTTGGCCCAAAACACATTTTAGGCAAAACTTTCGGCACAACTTTAATTGGCACCGAGCGAAAATTCCACTCCACTTCTTCGTGCCATTTATCATAGCCACGACACCTTAACAGCTCATAATTGGCAATTGAGTACAATATAGAATATCATAAATACATAAAGCTCAACCTTTTGGGGATCAGGCGGGGGCACACAGCACGCCAACATAAATCACAAGCCCCTGAGCCATGGAAAAAATATTTGTAAGTTGAGCAAGAACCGCAAACACTTTCCCCAGAAGAGTACACACATGGAAAACGCTTCGTTTTCATTGTGTAAATATTTAAGCAAACAATAAAATTCGAAACAGCACCCGGCCAAAAAGAGGGCGGCCTGCTGGCTACTGCTGTAGCAGGTGTCAAATGTTGCGGCCAAAAGGAAAAGCAAAGTCAGTTGCACAGAGAAGCACTGCCCCTCTATGCCCTTCGAAAATTTATGACAAACTGTGGCAGACACACACAAACGTTTGAATTCGCCCATATGCTTAGAATAAAACGTAGGAAGAAGAGTGTGACTTGGGGCCCCGACTTTCAGATACCTATTACATAGGTATTTCCACCCGTGTGGAAACTATAGAACGAAAAAAAGATAAACATTCATAATTTGTAGAACCTCTAGTCTCCAGTTAACTAATATTGAAAATAACTGAATCAGCTTTTAGCATCTTGTTCATCAAACCAGCATAGCCACACATCAACCTCAGAGAAAGGAACTCAAAAATGGCTTTGCGGAACTTTTCGGTACGTGCCACTTGGGCGAGGCACGAAGTTGTTGCAGCTGCCTTGGTCCTCCAGTGTTCAATGTGTTTGGTGTCTCGCTTCTTTCTATTTTGTTGGTGCATGACATTAGTTGTGAGCACATAAAAAATAAATAAATTTTACACACGTCATTGGTTTTTATTACTGCAGCAAATGGGAAAAGGCAGAAAAATGATTTAGATCAGCCACGCATTGTTCAAAATTGGACAAGGGAAATGCCGGAACCCTTGTCATTCAATCAAGTTGAGGAAACTGCTGGATTTTAATTA